TGGTGTTTGGTTTTAAAGCTGCAAAATTTCCTATTAAAAATTTCACGTGCATCAAACGCAATTGTTCGTGAATGCAGAATTTGAATCTTTGGACGTTAAACGTTCCAAAATTCCAATCTCATAGTTCTCTGGTTTCCGATTAACTTTCGCTCCGAAACTTTCACATGATCGTACGTGAGAAATCATCGTACTTGGGAGCTATGTTTGAGTTTGTTAAGCCCCTGCGTAAGCAGAAAACATCCTCCTGAAGTTTTCAGTCTCCCATCTCTTCTTGTTCTCGGGATAATTTTTCCGACAGAACTTTCACTGGACCGTACGTGCAGCCCAGGCTTAAGTGGGAGGCTAATTCGTACTTGAGGCAGGAGACATTCTTCTAAAATTTCAGCCCCCTCAGCTTTTGAGGTCCCAGAAGTACTAATTTTCCTCGCCAGAACTTGCACGGGCTGTACGTAGTACCCGGGCGCGGGAAGGGCTTAGTTTAAATTTGCTGGATCGTGCAGTGGCAGAGGAAATTACCTTAACAACTTAACTTCACAGTTTCCATGGTTCTTGAGATAATAATTTCCTCTCCAAACTCTCACGAGGCCATACTTCGTTGAAATTTAGTGGGTCACACGTGAGTGTGAAATATTCTACTAAAATTTTAGCTTTTCAGCTTTCACAGGTCACCGGGATAATAGTTCTCCCCGCCAAAACTTTTGCAGGATTGTACATGGTACCTGGGGACACCGAAAGGCTGAATTTAAGTGTACTGGGTGGCACTGTGGAGGAAATATTATGCTACAGTTTCAGCATTTTAATTTCCCTGATTTCTGAGTTGAAATCCCCTCTCTCCCCGAGTAAAATGCGCTCGGAACACTTGTACATGGAAGATCTCGGCAATATGTCTTTTATGCAACTGTTGCAGCGCAAAATGCTTGTTAAAAATTGCAAACATTTGAAAGATGAAAAAAAGATATGGCAGTTTATTAACATGGAATGTGAGTGAAATAGGAATTATTAGAGAGACTTTGTTAATCAGGTGCTCTAGGTTAGCATTGAGCTCTCAGTTACGATTGTATTCAGTTCGTTTGGAATGTCTTTTTTGGTATTTTTGGATCTCAGCCACAGCGTCGTCCATTTTCTTCTGTATCCGAAGTTTGCAAACTTGTTATGGCAGTGGGTTGTCTACTAAATGTTCAGTGAACTGTTTTTAGGGAGGGAATAACGTGGGCACTGTGCCTGTTCGGGTGTCGTTTCTCAGTCTTCGAGCGACGGCATCCGGCTCCCGGCAGGCTGTCGATAATGTCTTGGTAAATGGTGACATTCCGCCACTGCACAGGGCAGCAGCAGGCACTGATTCTGAAGTAAATCGCAGCGATGTGTATTCGTCGGCTTATTCGGATCCTGATTTTTGCGCCAGCACTGATCGCATATGTTTCAATGTCGGCCGTGAACTATATGTATTCGTTTATCGGTTAGCGCTTTTTGAGTAGTGTTTTACGAAAGGCATATGCTGTGTCGCCATGCGCGAGCAGGCTGACCGCTGTGGGATGCGCTTCTCGAACTGGACAGTCGTCCGTTCTTAAATTAGGCTGTTTTCAGCGGCGTTCAGAGTGCCGTTGATCTGAATAAGCCGATTGACAAAAGGGTATACAAGGGCACTTATCCAACGTCGCACGACTTCAATCAGGAAACCGCGACTAATTCCTCATGCAGGTTTCACTTTCAATTCATCCTCTTTAGCAATGAAAAAAAAAACAGCAATTCACGAATGTTCAGATATGAATTTGAATCGGGTCTTAGCTATTCGCACTCTGCAGCTGAGGTATTTTTTATGCATTTTGTGATGTGCAGCAGCTGCTCAAAAACGCATTTTATCATGCCCTTTGTCTTGTGTTTAGTATGTATGTATGTTTGTTTGTTTATGTGTGCGTATGTATGTGTGTATATATG